TGGGGGTTAGAGAGAAACTGTCTCCCCTTTGAAGGGAGATTAGTCTCACTATTCCTCTTTTACGGTGATCAAACGCACCCTCTGTTTCAATGAGGAGCTAACCTTGGGGTTGTGCGTTCTATAGCAGCAGAGGAACAAGAAGAAGAAGCGAGCAACATAATTAATTCCAGAAGATTATGTCGTCATCGAAAAATGAATATGTCATATTATGACATGATGATTTACAAGGATTTACTTGATTTTGGCATGATGCATACTCGTTCACAAAGTCTGTGTATAATTAGATACATTAAATTATATTTCAAAATTTGCGATAGAAGTAAATTCCGTCACAAATTGTACTTGGAATTACCGTTGCAGAATCCATCGTAAACTGCGATAGGATGACTCTAACTTCCGTCGCAATTTTCCCTCCCCCTGATTTATGACCAATGTACCCGTCGTAAAAATATTCGTTGCACTAACCCGTAGCAAATTATCCATCTTTGCTACGGCCTTGCGAAAAAAATGAGACGACATTTATGACTGTTTTTTGGCGACGGGTATTTGGCCCCATTTTCATCACAAATTTTCATTCAGCCGCAAATTTTGTTGCAAATTGCTACGATTAATTTACCGTAGCAAAAGCTCGTCGTTGTTTATGCATTTTCTAGCAGTGAGTAGTCCAATACACCCTCTGTTTCAATGAGAAGCTAGCCTTATAGCCGTACTCCGAGGACAAAATGGCTGGAAAAAGTTGATTAGGGATACTTCAAGGTTATATATATATATGTGTGTGGGAAAAATGTTTGTCCTTTTAAATAACACAACTTGTGTCATTTTACTTTCACAAAGAGGTGGGGTCCACACCTTTATATTTTTTTCCACTTTTCTCTCTTCCTTTATCTATCTCTTTCTCTCACTTAAAATGACACAACTTTACATCCTTTAAAATAATACACATTTTCCCTCTATATATATCATCATTTAACATTAATCTTATTCGTTTCTCCTTCCCTAATTCCTAAAATAAAATCCTCCCTTTGACTCGTTCGTTCCCTTACATCCACAAATTGCATATTGATAAAGGACTTCTCTATAATGCTAGCTTGAAGAAGGAGTGATTCTTTCAATGAAGAAAAAAAATTCTGAAATTCCCTCCTGTGGTTAATTATTTGATGGAGTGGTTGTTTTACGAAAAAATAAAATAAATACACGCAAGGAACATGCATTAAAAAAAATAAAATCGAGAATAAAGAAAGACAGAAGGGTTGGAAATTTTTTTCAAAAGGAATTAAAAACTATTATTTACTCTTTGCCTAATAAAGTTTCATTAAACAAGAAAACGTTGAGCTGGATTAAAAAAAACTCATTTAAAGTGAATTTGTTTGTAAGGGGGTGTATTGGATTGAGATTTCAAAGGATTTTAATGGATTATTATTTTTGGAAAAAAAAAATCCGTTGGTATTCGATTAGGATTTTAATGGATTGAAAAAAAGTTATGTGGTATTCGATTAGGATTTTAAAGGATTATTTTAGAATCAGTTGGTATTCAATCAAGATTTTAAACAATGGAATCACAATCTCGTGGTATTCAAAAATCTGACGATTTTAATGGATTTTCTATTGGTGTGGATTTACTTTTTAGTGAAAAAATATAAATAGGATGCCTCTCACACAATCTCACCCCAACCCCTAGAATTTCTTGAGATTCTTCTATTGCAGTGTTTTCTTCTTCCTTTGGCAGGTTGACTGCTCGAAATTGGGTTCTGTCATGAGAGCTTCGTCAAAACTAAAAAGAAAGCATATTTTTTAGCGCTTTTCATCACAAAACAACCCAGTAACAACAAACCAACGAGATTTTAATATAATCTATCTCAAAAATAATATATTTTTGAGCCATTTTTTGAAAAATTTGGAAGTTTAAAGAGTGATTTTTCAAGCTAGGGGTCGCAATTTTTCTTGGCACAAAACGTGTGATTTTTGTATTAAAAACAACATAAGACGGTGAAAAAATAACAGGTGAACTAAAACCCTCAAACTAATTTTCGTTTTACATCAATGAAACAATATCAATTTAAAAAAAGATTGAAACTTTCATAATATGAACCTTATATTTCGTAACAATACATTCATGAACAAATTCCTTCACTATAGGAAACGATTTCAAACAATTTTTGTGTCAATAGATAACTAAAAGCTTATTTTTCAAAAGCCCCAAAGCAATTTAAGGTTTCAATGTATCGATTGAAAAAAATTGAGAAATTTTCTAAACTTTCATGTAATTAAACCCAAAATTTCAGATTCATATGGTTAGAAAATTCCAAAAATTTCAAGATTTCCAGATCGATTGCAAAAATTCCAAATGAAATTTTATCATGAACTTTAGGTTCTATATGCAATATTAGAATTATTTTTATAATTAAAAAATTGGGTCTTATAATCATATGTGCATAGCTTTGTTACCAAATGAAGAAAATAATTTTCAACCCATTAGATATGTAAAAAGCTATTGTTTAGAAATTTTGAATATTTGTTAAAAATTGTATTATGTTTTACTGATTGAGAAAAATATATTATGTTTTACTTTTTTTATTAATTTCATTGCATTTCTTTGTTATTTTTTATGGGAAAGATTACACTTACAATCTATTTTTGTTTACAATATTTTACAACTATATCTTAACCGTTGATTTCTGTCAATCAATGGTTATTATTTTCTCAAATCAAACTCATTAATTAATATTTAATTTGCAATGAATGATAATCGTTGATTGACGGAAATCAACGGTTAAGATATGATTGTAAAATGTTGTAAACAAAAATAGGTTGTAAGTATAACCTTTCTTTTTTGTATTGACTCTTGTAATTTTGAATGTTTGTTAAAAATTCATATGATTTTTTAAAATCTTATAAATCCATAATGTCCTTTCAAATTTTATAAATTCTATTAAAATCCTTTAAAATCCAATCTTATGAAATCTTGATTGTAAAAAAAGTCTTTTAAAAAAGTGTTTAAAGTCTCTTCAATTCTAAAATGTCTTTTAAAATCTGTAGAATTTTTATCTCAAAAAAGTCTTTTAAATTTCTAATCTAATACACCCCCTAAAATTTAATAAGTAACAATGTATTCCTTTTTAAATAATTATTTAGAGTATTGAAATTATGAGTAGGGATCTTTTGACTTGAATATATGATTAACAAGTTTTATTTCTCATATTAGTTATTGATTTCGTTCATTTATGGCTATAATATACTTGCAATTAATAATTAATTAATTGATATAATTTAATAAATTATAACTGTTATGACGAAAATCAAAATAATATTTATTAGTTGTACATCAGACTCAAAATATCCTTCCTCTGAAATCATAGTATATTTCAGATTAAATTAAAAAGTAGAAATGCTAGACTACCCAAAAAAAAAAAAGTAGAAATGCTTTTGTTTACTCACTTCATGATTAAGATCTCTAATGAAGACCTCCACTACAATTATGTGCCTTTATTTATCTTCTTTCCGGGGGGGGTGATTGGACCGAGGAAGAGGCTAGTATTAGGGGTGAAAGTGGGTTGGATTGGGTTTAGTTTTGCCTGAAAAGTCCAAGCCTATGCCAAAAAAATTTATTTAGGCCTAACCCGAGCCTAATACGAGTCTAACTATTAGCCTGACTTGGCTCGTTTATAAAAAAACAAATGGCCTGACTTGACCTGTTAGCCTGTTAATTTTTAACTTCTAAGCATAACCATAAATAAACTTCACAAAATACTCAAATTATGTTGCTAAAACAAAAATCACAATTTCAACGTCCAAACAGAACCATGAATCACAACAAAACTCATCACAATCTGCATTTAATTCACTTTCAGAAGTAAAATGTTGGAACTAAATAACATATATTTCATCATATCCTACAAACAAATCTATACTATGTAAATTAAAATAACTACATAAATCTAACAAACACATCATAATGCTTGTAGTAGCCAAAAACTTCTCTTCATTTTCTCTCCCCTATAAATACAATTCTAAGATTACATAAGTTGACAAACAATTTGTAAATGTAGAAAATAAAAATAAGAATAAAGAATAGAAACAAAAAAAAAGATTGAGAAACAAAAAATCTTTTAATAGATTTGTATAGGCAATTTCACATACAGAGATGTTGGTTCCTCCTATATAAAAAATATAACCAAATTTCTATTAAAATTTAATCGAATATAATTAAATTATAAAATATTTTCAAATGATTAAATTTATACCTTTTATTTTTTCTTCAAGCCATACATATTACGTAGCCAATCTCCGTCATATATTAACGCTTAGATAGTATCATCAACAAAGCTAGAACTATAGGCATCAATAATATTGATTTTTATGATATTGTAGAGATTGGTACATATCTTATGCGACTCTTAAAGATAGTATTGATGATGGAACGAACCTAGATCATTCCACCACCTACTTAGCTCACATGCACCAATTGAACTATCACCATTTAGTACTACTATGAATAATATTATTTAATTTAATTTAAAATAAATAATATGATATAGGCCGGCTTCTAGGCTTATAGGCCCGACATGTAAAAAAAAATATATCACCTACTTTCTAAATAGGCTTCTTTAAAAGCTCGAGTCTGTTCTGTTTGACTATATGTAATAAGCCAAGTCCGGTCCGATATAGGCTAGGTCGTAGGCCCCTGTAGACCGGCTCGACCCACTTGCACCCCTAGCTAGCATTAACGGTCACTCCTCCTTAAATTTTGATTTTTTGTGTGTAAAGTAATAATTTTTTAATAACAATAGACTATTGGTACTAATAATTAGTCCGTCCCTAAAAAATATTTATAATAGTTAATATCTTTATTAGTCTTAATAAAATTTATAATTTTAAAATTTTATTTTTTCCCCTGTTATAAAAAATCATGCTCCGCCACAGGTCCTTTCATTATATAAGAGAGGAATCAGCATAGAGCCCCTATGCTATGCCAAACAATTTCCCAAGTCTAATTGAAAAGAATGGGTCACTCCATTTTATACCTTCTTGTTTTATCTTTTCTTGTTTTCACTTTGTTGCTGAGTACTGGTCATGCCAGCAAACAGGTAGGCCAGTTTTTACTTGTTAGTTGCTCGTTTGCATATTGTTTTGAAGTTACTACTTTGAAATTGAGATGATTATGCAATTGGATGATGGTGATGGATTACATTATTTTGATTACACTTCACTAATTGCTGGTTTTTGATTCGCTGTTTACAGTGCTACATTGTTTACTTGGGAGCACATTCTCATGGTCCAACCCCTTCATCTGTTGACCTTGAAACTGCAACATATTCTCATTATGATTTACTGGGTTCAATCTTGGGAAGGTATAAAATGATAAAACCACATTAAATTCTACCTAAGCTCTGGTTTAGAAGAAAATGATTGATTAACTTTATATTCATCATTCATAGCCATGAGAAGGCCAAAGAAGCAATTATTTATTCATACAATAGACACATCAATGGCTTTGCAGCTGTTCTTGAAGAGGAAGAAGCAGCACATATTATAAGTGAGAAAATCAATACCATACTTCCACTGTCATAAACATCTTCATTATAAATTTATGATTCATTCTAAATTTAGTTTCAAATTAGCTTGTTGACACAATGTTTCCCCTGATGCAGAAAAGCCAAACGTTATATCTGTGTTCTTGAGCAAAGAGTATAAACTGCACACTACCCGTTCATATGAGTTTCTTGGACTGCAAAGAAATGGTATGAACTCAGCATGGCAAAAGGGAAGATTTGGTGAAAATACAATTATCGCTAACATTGATACAGGTAAACTTTATAATTTTACCACACTTGATGCTTCTTAATCCAATCAGAATCAGTTAGTTATCTACTAACAATTCTGAGAACAACATTGTGCGTACTAATGATGATCATTGCCAACATCAATTTAGTCTATATAGTTTGTGAGCTGTTTTGTTGGGAGTGAGATTAGATCTGATCATTTGATAGGGTGAAGTATCTCCATGTAATAGTGCTATTAGAGTTAATAGTATAAAGAATTAATTCATCCAAAAGTTTAAGACGGCGGGTGAGACTACATTAATAATTTTTATATATCTCTAATATGCCCCCTAATACGAGAGTCTACTGGACTTAAATGATGGACAATATACATGCACATACATGTATTAAGAAATTCCACACGAAAAAGTGGGAGACGGCGTGAATCCCTGCGCCACCAAAGCTCTGATGTCATGTAAAGAACCAACCCAAAAGCTTACACTAGTGGATGAGGCTATATTAATGATTTTTATATATCTCTAACGCATCACCCTTCTGTAAGAGCTCACTAGGCTTAAAGGGTGGGCAATGCACATACCCAACCTACTTGTGCTAAAAATTTCCACAATAGAAAGTGGGGGCTGAGGATTAAATCCAGAACACGAGGCTCTGATACCATGTATAAAACTATTTCAACCCAAAAGCTCAACCTAATGGGTAAGACTACATTAATAACTTTTATATATCTCTGACAAATAGTATCGATTATAGTTCTGTGAGTGAGTCATCGTGAGTATCTCTTGATGGAGACTAACAGAGGGAAAGATGTAAAAGGCACAATATTTCTATATTTTAGCAAAGTAACAACTCATAAATTATTAGATATTTATTTGTGAAAAATATTTTCTAATTATAAGATTTTGTTTTGCTCAGTGGCCCCCACTGTATGCTTTAGGGAGGCGTACCTTTTGAATGTGAGATCAATTGGTGCAGGGGATAAAAGACCCCTTATTATGAAAGTATAAAAATCTCACTGGAATCTCTTAAATGGGCGTTGCGGCCGAACCATTAGATTGAGCCTAGGTTGCCAATCCAAAACAATTTGGAAACTATCCGTTTATAAAAATTTATCAAATTTTTGTAAACTATACTATATACTTTCAAAATATATAATGTAACTTAATGTACTTCCAAAGTATATAATGTAATTTGTAAATAAAAAATTTATAAATATAACCCTCCTTATATAACTATTGCCTTATTTTATTTGGAATTGATAGAAGGTTGATGTTGCCATTATGTTGTTATATAACTAATCAGATGCTTTCTACTTTTTTAAATTTAATTAAACTACTTGGAGACAAGCAACACATGCTTTCTTGAGCTGGCAGGATGCTTTCTTGAGTTCATATATTAAAACCAAGAAAGTTTGGAAATTCATTAGTTAAGGTGTTATATTTGATGGGATAAGATATTATGTTTATCTTTTTTCATGTCTACTATATCTATTTTTCTCTAATACTATTATATCATAATCCCACGATAAATAGAATGGGTGAAGGTTAATTGAGTTTTGATCTAACAATGTTGAAATAGAGTAGGTATGAAAAAATATAAGCACAATATTTTATCCCATATTTTAATTGTGCATAGTGTAAGAATGTTTTATTTGAGATCTGAGTATGAAATAAAGAAATTATGTAAAAATCTAAAATGAAAGATCTGTTTCCTTTTTTAATTGCTTATATCTAGAACCAGAAATGTAACAAATTCTTTAAATAAATAATCTCCTGACTTCACCCCTTGCGTAGGAGTTTGGCCAGAATCCAAAAGTTTTAGGGACGATGGAATAGGCCCTGTCCCAGCAAAATGGCGTGGGGGTAATGTCTGTCAAATTGACAAACTCCGGGATTCAAAGAATGTTCCATGTAACAGGTTCTCTTTCTTACTTTTATTGCTTCTCTTATGAAATGAATTGAATTTTGCTAGTATCTTATGCATTGCATTTGCATGTGTTAATATTTTAAATTTAAATAAAATTTTAAAATATTTAAAATTATAAGGATTCATACATAATATTCAGATTAAATCTAATTAAAATGTATAAATTAATATCTTTTCTTGAAATTATAAAAACAATATATGTATAATTAATCACAAAAAATTTGTTTTAAGATAAGAGAAATTAAAAATGACTTTTGATATTCTATATGAAAGAGTAAACTTAATTTAGAATGTACTCAGATTAAAAGTAATGGTATGTACGTAAATGAATCAACTTAATTGCAATTTTTTTATTTACTACTCAAATAATTAAGCAACAATAACTAAACCAAAGTGAAAAATTGAAAACATCATGACATCTCAATCATTATGACCCAGTACATCTACCCTTAACCTTTTGCAAAATATAAAAACTTATGAAACTGACTGATACAATGATCCATCCACCATTTTGGTAGTTTGAATAGACTTACTCTCATACCATGTCTGCTGACAATATTTTACAATAGCTTCTGTCAATCATGCAACCACTACTTAAGGGATTTTATGAAAAGTCCACTAAGCTGATAACATATATATTTATTCACAATTTGCTAAGCAAACTTTGAATTAGAAGAGCGATATAAACACAGTAACTTAAGAAACATGATGGAAATATAAATTACCTTGTTTATATATATGCCTATATAAACTTCAACAATGTTCTTTTATTCATCTATTTGTGCTCTATAATAAACAGGAAGCTAATTGGAGCAAGATTCTTCAGCAAAGCTTATGAGGCATTTAACGGCAAACTTCCCACATCACAACAAACAGCACGTGACTTTGTAGGACATGGTACACATACTCTATCAACCGCAGGTGGCAATTTTGTTCCTGGTGCAAGTGTCTTTGGTAATGCTAATGGCACTGCAAAGGGTGGATCCCCAAGAGCAAGAGTTGCAACCTACAAAGTGTGTTGGTCTCTAACCGATGCTGCAAGCTGCTATGGTGCGGATGTGTTAGCGGCTATTGACCAAGCCATAAGTGATGGTGTTGATTTGATATCCATTTCTGCTGGAGGCCGAACAAGTCTTAGTCCCGAAGATATATTTACAGATGAAATTTCCATAGGGGGATTCCATGCACTTGCTAGAAATATATTATTAGTTGCATCTGCAGGGAATGATGGACCAACACCTGGAACTGTTTTGAATGTTGCTCCATGGCTATTCACAGTTGCTGCTAGCACAATAGATAGGGACATCAGCAGTACTTTAACTTTTGGTAACAATCAACAAATCACGGTATCACCCTTCTTCTTCTTATTATTATTATTATTAGTCCTTTTTATTATAAATATTATTAGTGTTGAAATATAATTGTTTTATTTTTTCTATTACCAGGGAGCCAGTCTTTTTGTAAACATACCACCTAACCAGTCCTTTACTCTGATCCTTGCTGCTGATGCTAAACTTGCCAATGCGACAAAACGTGATGCGTAAGTACAAATCTCTCACAAGCTTTGATTCAGAATACCCTGTTTATTAATTAAATGATTGTTCCTCATATTGTTGTAGTCAACTTTGTAAGGCTGGAACACTTGATCCTGCAAAAGTAAATGGCAAAATAGTGAGATGCCTTCGAGAAGGAAAAATAAAATCAGTTGCTGAGGGTCAGGAAGCTTTATCTGCAGGCGCAAAGGGAATGATTTTGGAAAATCAAAAGCAAAATGGGAATACACTTCTTTCTGAGCCTCATGTTTTATCTACTGTGGCCTATGCAGACAGTCGAGGTCGAATAACAAATCCTCCGAGAAGTTTTGACTTAACTGCCACGTAATTATATCCTTCTCTGTACACCACCTTCTAAAATTGTTACATTTTTGTAAATGACATTTTACAAATGAAGATGGAGCTCTATTTACACGCTATATTTATATTAATGCAGGGACTCTACAATAAGCTCGTTTACTACAATAAGGATGTCCCCAGCAAAAACTTTCAATAGAAGAAAGCCAGCTCCAGTTATGGCTTCATTCTCATCTAGAGGACCCAATACGATTCAGCCATCAATACTCAAGGTCTCTACACTTGGATTTTCTTATCTTCAACTATATATAACTTGTTATTTGTCTCTTTATTTTAAATGACTGCTTTTGTTTTCTGTTTTAGCCTGATATAACTGCACCAGGTGTGAACATACTTGCTGCCTATTCACCTGCCGCAAGTGCATCTGACCTACCATCAGACACTCGCCGAGGATTTCCGTTCAATGTACTCCAAGGAACTTCTATGTCTTGTCCTCATATTACTGGCATTGCTGGACTTCTCAAAACACTTCATCCTAGTTGGAGTCCTGCAGCTATTAAATCAGCAATCATGACCTCAGGTCCTTATATTTATATGTATATATATATATATTAGAAAATGTTTAACATTATGATATATAATATATGCATGTCTATATATATATATATGGTTGCAGCAACCACACTGGATAACACCAATAGACCAATTAGGGATGCATTTGAGAACACATCAGCAACTCCATTCGCTTATGGTTCAGGACATGTTCAACCTGACCTTGCTATAGATCCTGGACTTGTTTATGATCTAGGCCTTACTGATTACTTGAACTTCTTATGTGCTTCTGGATATGACCGGCAACTCATTTCCGCACTTAATTTCAATAGGGCCTTTGTTTGTTCAAGATCTCAGAGCATAACAAACTTGAACTACCCTTCAATCACATTGCCAAATCTTGGGTTAAATGCAGTAAATGTTACTCGTACGGTCACCAATGTTGGGACACCAAGTACATATTTTGCAAATGCCCAATTGCCTGGATATAACATTGTTGTTGTACCGAATACCTTGAGTTTCAAGAAAATTGGTGAAAAGAAGACATTCCAGGTGATTGTGCAAGCAAGGAGTGTGACTAAGAGGGGAACTTATCAATTTGGGGAACTAAGATGGACAAATGGAAAGCACATAGTCAGAAGTCCTATAACAATTCGGCGCATATGAAAAATATCCTTGGAGTTAGTAATGTGTGTTTTGTAATAATTGATGCGTATCATGCTTGTATGTTGTAACATTGTCTTTGTCTCTAGTGATTTCCAAGTATATATCAATAAAATGACGTCAAAATGCTTTTAAAAATGTAAATGTCTGATTTTAGATGACAAATGACAAGAAGTGTGTGTAAATTGTAAACGATAAGATTTGCAATTCACAATAATTTAAATTCGAAGATTAATTAACGGATGGGGAATGTAAATTGACAATAATATTATGAACTTGACTAAAAATGTGAATAAATTGATTAGTAATAATTTTGGTCTTGCACCAATATTATGAGGTGTGGTGCGATATCTGCAAAGAAATTCCAAAAATTTAAATCAGTCCAGAAGCCGAAAAGGTGCTAAGAGAATAGGGGGAGGCCCCCAGAGGTAAAGGCCACGAATGTCAAATTATGTTTCAGCGGATTCTTTCATTGTTAAAATTTTGTTGGTCTTCAACTTTGAATGTTTGCTATCCTTGTTGAATGTTTGCCATCTTTTTTGCTATGCCAGCTTGGTTGGTTCTGATATGTAAGCATTGCGGTAGAAAAATAATAGAAAAATCTTTAGGATTTTTGTTTACATATCTGATACACATTTGGATTAATAGACTTCGCTTAGGAATCTATGCGGGCTTTCAATTTTCTCATCTTTGCCTATGCTTACTTACAGACTAGCTCAAAGACTATATGGATTTATTAGCATTAATTTGCTTTTCTAGACCTTCTTAGCGACTCAGGTACTTGCTTTTGAACTAACCTGGGCAATTTAAATCTGCATTTCAAGTTGTTGTGAAAGTCTTCACACTATTAAAAAAGTATGAATTGGGATGGGTTTTAGAGACGGAAAATATTCCTGTTTGGGACGAAATTAACGACGAAATAAATTTTGTTTCTAATGGGACAAATTTTGAGATGGAAAAATATTTCGTCTCTATTAGGGATGAAAAATTTTCAATTTCTCTAATCCATCTCTAATTCTGCCCCTAATAGGATTGAAGTTGATGCTACAATTTCAAAAGTTCGGTTTCATCAGCTACCTTGTGAGTTTAATAACTCCGGCTATACTTAACCAAATGGTTATTGTAATATCTTTATGGAAAGTCTCATATATCTATTTAAACATAGTTAAAGATTATAATTTATGGTGAGGAAATACAGTCCCAGTTTAAGAAAACGTAGGGGCTGTTCAATGTCAGTAAAACTTAAAAGAGTGTAATACATCGTGTTAGCCTACGGAGGCTTCATGGCGAATGACGTAAAGTTTGAATTACGCCCTTGGGTTCGTGGTATTAACTAATAAGAGATTGTAAAAATAAATATTAGCGCTTTTGAGTCATATATTTGTTATAATTACTGTAATTGAATTAATTGTATTCGGATTTAATTATTGACAGTAAACGAAAAGGAAAAAAAGTATCCATGAATTGATTTAACTATTGTGATTGTAACTTGACTTAATACTATATGTGATGTTAACAAACCAATCACAAACGGGGTGTTACACGGGGTAAGATATACGAATACATCTCAGTAAACCAGGAGTCCTTGGAGCATCTCTCCACCCCAAAGTTCATTCATAGTATAATAGCAATAACAGTAAATAATGTAATAAATACATATCCATGCATTGTGTAAAACATCTCCAGGAGACATCCTTCGAGCTCTCATGCCGCCCTAAGGATACTCAAATGCAAATAGTTCTACTGGCCAGCTAAACATACAAAATATACGTATAAGAAAGTATTAAACTACTTTATTGCATTTACATACACTATCAATAATCACTACCCATTATGGGTTTGTTGGAACAATAAAGAGATAAATTCCCAAGGTTCAAAGGCTTACCTCAATGCGCTTCCAAGCTTAACCTTTATTCACCACAAATGAGCAATCAACCAAGCTTTGTATTCAATCTACACTCTTACAATATACACACATACATCAAGGTGTTAGGCAATCTATCAATGCAATCCAAAGAATACCAAGATCCTCATCAATCAAACAAAACATATTCACACCACCATAGGTATGAATTTACCAAGCTCAATGAGCTAATCAAGCTCCATTGCTTTCTCCAAAGGTTGGTCACCCAAGGATGGTCCACTTGGCTCAATCCTAGCATCATAAGGGACCCAATCAAACATCAACCAACCAATGGCTCAACAATGCAAGAAACTCAACATTTCAAGCATTAATTTTTTCAAAATATTAAACATAAATGAATATCTAAATCCATTTCTACCGATTATTTATCATTTATAACAACATTTATAAATGGATTTAACTTCAATCACCCTCTAACATACCCCCCTATTCATGTATTTTTCCTAAATCAAACCCGAACACATCCAATCTCATAAAACCATGGAAAAACTTATATTTTTGTGGAAACTCACCTAGAATCAAGCAAAGAAAGATTGCAAGCCTCACTTCTTGAAATGAGCCACTCCAAGTTCCTCCAAGCCAAGTGGATCGCCACTTTCAAAGGGAGATGTCTCACTCTACCATGGTTTCCACTCAAAACTAAGTTAAGATTAAGGATGAGGGAAAAATTTGAAGTGATTTAGGCTTTGGAATGGAAGGAGATTTGAGTAAGAAATAGAGAAGTTATGGTTAAGGGCTCAACAATGGCTTCTCCTCTCCTCTCTACGAGGAAGAAGAAGAAGAAAATTAGGTTCTTTTCTTTGTTTCTTCACTTAACATATGATAGGTTATTTTCACTGGATAAAAGTTTATCTATCTACTCACCTCCATTACTACCAAACTTTTTACCTAATGAACTAGAATGTTTTTTCAGTCATATTTTTAGCTTTAACTTTTGGGTAATTTTGCATACATATATTTTTATCCCAAAAATCTCAATGACTGTACTTTTTACCACAAATTGATTTAAATTTGTTAATTAAGTCTTTTACTTAATTAAATTCAATAATACATGATTAATTATCTAATCACATGAAATTTTCTAATTAAACAAGTTAAGGATATTATACTCATTTCCTTCTAGCTCCATAAAAAGTTTTGAACCTATAATACCCCTAACTTAAATAATTTAATTAATTACTTCAAATTAAGTAATTAAGCATGTATTAGTGAGTAAAATTAAGTATAGGGCCTAATTAAGTGAATTGGGGTCACTTTTGAGGTAAAAAGTGTACTCAGTGAAAATTAAGGGGTATAAATGGGTGCAGGCAAAAGTACCCAAAATATAAAAATAAAAGTGGATATATTTCTAGAAAAATATTCCAGACCTTTGGATAAAGTTTGGTGGTAAATGAAGTTGAATAGATAGATGAGCTAATACCCGCTTAAAGCCACTTAACAAATGTTAAGTGACCAAGCAACTAAAAAAAAAAAAGAACCCAAATCCCTCCCCCAACCCGTCGTGGACCAGAAAGGAAGAAAGAAAGAAAGGAAGAGAAGGAGAAGAAGAGAAGGAGAAGAGGGAAGAAGGGGGAAACCCTAGGTTATGCTATTCTTAACCAAATTCATTCATTCCAAAGCCTAAACCACTCCAAATCTTCCCCTCTTTCATAATTCAAGCTTGGTTTTGAGTGGGAGTCTTTGTGGAGTGGGATATCATCCTCCAAAAAATCCGACCCATAGGAGAAAGTGAGGGATTTGTTAGCTTTTACCTCCATGGGAGCTTGAGGAACAACCATTCCATTGTTAAGTGATCATTGGTGGTAAGTTTTCACTCTTTTTCACTTGATTCCTTGAGATTTTCATGAGTTTAGGTTTTGATGAATAGTGTTGTAGGGTTTTATGTTAATGTGAGTAGATTGGCTATGTTCAAGGAGGATTGAGACTTAGTGTATGTTATGAAAAATGCTAGGAATGACATTTAATCGGTAGAAATGAGTTTAAAGTGTTATTTTAGTATGCTTTGAGATTTGGAGAAATCTAGGCTTGGAACTATGGATTTCCTTGCATTGTTAGCATTGTTTGATTGTATTCCTTGTGTTGATAGGATTGAGGCAAGAGGACCAAGTGGTATCAGAGCAGGGCCTCTCATCCAGTACGGTGTGGTTCGAGGACGAACCAGGCGGAAGCTGGTGGGCATGTAACATCCCGAGCGCTGACGAGGGCGGGGAATGATCGCTGGTGCAAAGAGGCACGGACAAGGAGCGACTCCTGACAGGCTTCCAGCGGGGGTTACATGCATGAATGAATTGAATCGACACCCGAAAGAGAGAGATTCCAAAGGTTGTGCAGGTATAAGACTGCACAGTTTGGGATAGCTTATAAGAATTAATTGGTACTACCTATGCTAACAAGATGCATTTGCTTTTCGGTAGTCCGGATCGGAAGAACTATACAGTTAAGCGTGCTTGACTTGGAGCAATTCTGAGATAGGTGACCTCCTAGGAAGTTTTTCCGAGAAGTGTGCGAGTGAGAAAAAAACACACTGAAAAGTCTCATAATAATATGTGAAGATAGTCATTAATTCTTGAAGCGGTCGGACGTTACAGAACCATTTAATTTTGTATAAGCTAAAGTTACTGTGAATGTCTTTTTCTAGTTCTTCTAGATATCCTCGGGGCAGTCCCCTATAGTTGTATATCTGCCATCATAGTTGCGCATTACAATAGCATATACTTCGCGTTATATACTTCGCGTTAGTTCAAACCTAAAAATACTGTGGAATATTATTGTGACCAGTGACCGAATAATCAACTAAAAACATATACTCATTTTGTATTACAATAAGATTACAATTACAAAGAAATGAGAATACTTCCGCTTTTCCATCACTATTAGATTTATTTATGAAAGTGTCATTGATGAATACTCGTAATTATAAAATCGTCATCCTATAACCAAGAAAACCAAAAATTAATTTTTGGGAAAATCGCTAGACTGTTCTCCATTTTTTAGTTTTTTAAACTAAAAAGTAATTATTATTTTGAGAGTCACTTTTTTAAACCAATCCTTTCCAAATGATTTTATTATAAAAACTAAT